TTTTATTTATTTGAGTCCTTTCTCCATTTTTCTTGATGAATCTCGCTAGCAGTTTATCAATTTTATTGATTTTTTTTTAAAAGAACCAGCTCCTGGTTTTATTGATTTGTTCTGTTTTTGTTTCTATATCCTTTATTTCTGGTTTAATCTTTATTATTTCCTTCCTTCTGCTGTTTTTAGGTTTTCTTTGTTTTCCTTTTTCTAGCTCCTTCAGGTGTAAGGGTTAGGTTGTTTGACACTTTTTTTGCTTTTTAAGGTACACCTATGTTGTTCTACACTTCCCTCTTAGAGCCACTTTTCCTGCATACCAAGGATTTTGAACCATTGCATTTTCATTTTCATTTGCTTCCATGTACATTTTTATTTCTTCTTTAATGTCCTGGCTGATATATTCATTGTTTACTAGTATGTTCTTTAACCTCCATGTATTTGTGGTCTTCCCAGAGTTTTCCTTGTGGTTGACTTTAAGTTTCACAGCATTGTGGTCAGAAAAGATGCATGGTGTGACTTTGATCATCTTGAACTTGTTGAGGCTCGTTTTGTGGCCAAATATGTGACCTATTCTGGAGAATGTTCCATGTGCCTTTGAAGAGAATGTGTATTATGCTGTTTTAGGGTGGGATATTATGAATATCTGTTAAATCCATCTGGTCCAGTATGTCATTCAAAACCATTGTTTGCTTGTTGATTTTCTATTTAGGTGATCTGTCCATTGATATAAGTGGGGTGTTAAAGTCCCCTCCTATTATTGTATTATTATCAGTTAGTTCCTTTATGTTTGTTATTAATGCCTTATGTATTTGGGTATTCCTGTGTTGGGTGCATAAATATTTATAATTATTAGATCTTCTTGTTGGATTATCCCCTATATTACTATGTAGTCTCCTTCTTTGTCTCTTATTTCAGCCTTTGTTTTAAAGTCTGTTTTGTCTGATATAAGTATTGGTATTCTTGCTTTGTTTTGACATCCATGTGCGTGGTAAATATTTCTTCATCTCCTCTTTTTCATTTTGCAAGTGTCTTTAGGTCTAAAATGAGTCCCTTGTAGGCAGCATATAAATGGGTCTTGGTTTTTTTTATCCATTCTTTCACACTGTGTCTTTTGATTGGAGCATTTAGTTCATTTACAATCAAGGTAATTCTTAACCAGATATGTATTTATTGCCATTTTGTCACTTGTTTGTTATTTCTGAAAATTTTCTCTGATCCTTTCTTGTCTTTCTTTAATGCTTTGCTGGTTTTCTTTTCTCTGGTGATACATTTGGATTTCTTTCTCCTTATTCTTAGCATATTTATTAGTGGTTTTTGATTTGTGTTGCCATTAGGTTTGTATATAACCACTTCTGGATATAGCAGTCTATATTAAGTTCATGGTCATTTAAGTTTGAACCCATTCTTAATTCTTCTCCTTCCCATGTAAAATATGGTGTCCTATTTTACATACTTTTATTTTGTAAGCTCCTTGACTGATTTTTTACAGAAATACTCATTTTTAACACTTTGTGTTTCCTACCTTTATACTGTCATTTTTGGTCTTTCATTTCCACTCAGAGAATCCTTTTTAATATTTGTTGCAGGGCTAGTTTAGTGATCATGAACCCCTTTATTCTTTGTTGGCCTGGGAAACTCTTTAATTTCCTTCTATTCTGAATGGTAGTCTTGCTGGATAGAGCATTCCTGTCTGTAGGTTTTCCCCTTTCAGCACATTGAAGATATCACGTCACTCCTTTCTGGCTTGGAAAGTTTCTGATGAAAAATCTGCAGGTTTCCTTTGTATGTAACTGTCTTCTTTGGTAACTGTCTTACTGCTTTTAATAGTCTTTCTTATTCACTATATTTTGCCATTTTATTATAGTATGTCTTGGTGTAGATCTGCTTTTGTTGATTTTGTTGAGGATCCTCTGTTCCTCCTGGATCTGTGAATCTGTTTCCTTCCCCCAGAGTAGGGAAGTTTTCAGCTATTATTCCTTCAGATAAATTCTCTGCCCTTTTTTCTCTTTTTCTGGGATCCCTATAATGTGAATGTTATTATGTTTGATGGAGTCACTGAGTTCTCTCAGTCTGTTCTCATTTTGCATAATTCTTTTTTTTCTCTGTTGTTCAGTTTGATCACTTTCCATTATTCTGTTTTCTAGGTCCAGCCTGCTGTTCATTCTGTCAAGCTTATTTCTCATTTTGTTTATTGAGCCTTTGATCTCTGCTATATTACTCCTCATCTCTGTGTTGATGGTCTCACTGATACTGTCCACTCTTCTCTCATGTCCACTGAGTATCCTTATGCTCATTGCTTTAAATTCTCTATCAGGCATATTACTTTTATCTGTTTTCTTTAGTTCTCTGGCTATGGCCTTTTCCTATTCTTGCATTTAGGATGAATTATTCTGTCTTCTGATTTTATCAGTCTCTGTGCCTGTTTCTGCTTGTTAGGAATGTCAATTATATCTCCTATTCTTGAGGGTAATGGCTTTATGAAGAAGAGGTCCTGCAATGCTCTGCATTATAGTGTCCTCTGTTTCCCAGGGCCTGGTGCTTCCAAGAGTATCTCCAAATGTGTGCACTCTGCTGTTGTGTGCTGGCCACTTTGTACTACAGGCCAGTTGTCTGCCGAGGCTCTCTTTGCCTGTTGTGGGCAATGTTTGGTCCTTCGAGTGATTGTTGCATATTTTAACTAGGTGTGCTCTGATCTGCTTGTTGTTGTTGTTGTTGTTGTTTTAAGATTATATTTATCCATTTGAGGGAGAGTGAGAGAGAGCATGAGGGAGGAGAAGGTCAGAGGGAGAAGCAGACTTCCCACAGCTGGGACCCCAATGCGGGACTTGATCCCGGGAATCCGGGAACACGACCTGAGCCGAAGGCAGTGGCTTAACCAACTGAGCCACCCGGGCACCCTCTGATCTGCTTGTTAAATGACACCTGTCATCACCACCACTAAAACCAGGGCCCTGCAAAACTCCCAGGCCAGGAGACATGGTGTGGACAAAGGTTTGCATCTGTCTTCTGGGGCAAGGGACCTACTGTGCTGGGTCTGAAGCAAGTGTTACTGGGAAGGGTAGTTCCACCAATATGTGGGTGTGTGGAGGGAGGAAGCTGGGCTTGCTGTAAGCAAGTTAGGTAGCAACTGTTGATGCTGCATTAGTTCCCACAGGTGACGCTGCTTATGCTGAGTGGCATGGGAAATGGTATCAGGCAGTTCTTTCGTTCCCCTAGGGGTGTCTCTGGGGTCTGCTCTGAAATGAGCAACTAACTTCCCCACTGTGTACCGCAGCCATTCCCATGCTGTATGTCCCTGGGCTTTTTGCCATTCCTTCTCTCCAAGATCAGCCCAGTGCCCTTGAGAGTCTTCCATCCACTCCCATCGATCTTTAAAGCTCTAGGCTTTAAGCTGCACTAGTTGCAAAACTCGGGAAATTTGGCCCCTTGCTCTTTCCAAGTCAGTTGCTATGGGGATTCTTATTCCTATGTGGTCCCCTCTGTGCTAGTCTGTCTCACTCTTCTCTGCCATCACCCCTCCTTTCCAGCACAGCGAACATGATCTCTTTCTCTTCCAAGCTGCATCTCCACACTTCCTACCTCCTTTTGTGGCCTCTTCTCTACTTTTGCATGTGGAGTTTGTTCTGCCAGTCTTCAGGTCAATTTTGGGTGTATTTATGATGATCTGATAGTTACCTACTTGTATTTGTGGGATGAGGCAAGCCTAGGGTCCTCCTACTCCGCTGCCATCTTTTCTTGCCCCCCCCCATGAAAGGCTACTTCATTATTTTAAACACATTTTCTTTCTTTTTTTTTTTTTAGATTTTATTTATTTATTTTGACAGAGAGAGATCACAAGTAGGCAGAGAGGCAGGCAGAGAGAGGAGGAAGCAGGCTCCCCACTGAGCAGAGAGCCCGACATGGGGCCCGATCCTGGGACGCTGAGACCATGACCCAAGCCAAAGGCAGAGGCTTTAACCCACTGAGCCACCCAGGCACCCCAAACACATTTTTTATTTATATTCTTTGCCAGTCATTTTTGTTGATCAATGATAACCTTTCACATATGCAGTATATAAAGTCTTTCACTATTGTAATTGTTGTAACTATCTATCCCTAGTCATTTGCTTTTTTTATTGTATTGTGTTAGTCATTTGCTTTTCAGATTTTGTTTACAGCGAGATTTCTTTCTTCATCTCCTATTTTCCCTCTACTTTTTAGATGTATCAAAGTCTGTGTATTTGTAGTTAAAGATGTTGATCTTTGTCTATATGAATTTTCTTTATTTTTATTGTTTGTGCTTAGAAGTCATTTCCCTCCCAGGAATCACAAAAATACCCACCTATATAGTCTTTCTAAATTACTAATCTCTCTTATATTTGTTTTGGCATGAGTGTGAGGTAGGGATCCATTATTTTAATAGGCATGATTAATATTAAATTATTAAAGCAAATCATGAAAGGCTTTTTCAGAGTCAGTAGATACACATACAAATACCAAAACAAAGAATACAAATGAAAATATATTTCGGAGATATTAAAAAGGTCTGTGTCTCTTTTAATGAGAAGGTTCTACTTTGGCAGATCTTTAGTTAATGCTTAAATAGCTTATATGCCATATTTAAATTGCACATTAAACCTTTTTTGTAATTCACTGAGTTGGCTACTAGAAGTGATAATATTTGGAATTCATCTTAACTTCTATTTCTCTGGATATCTTCTCAGTGCTGTCCCTTCGATCCATCACAATCCATTTTTGGAGCAACCTGACCTCCTAAACAGCATCTCTTTTCAGGAAGGGTGCCTTTGTGGATCTTTCCAGCCTTCTGATGTCCCTGTTTTCGTTTCCATGTCTTTAGTTTAGTGAGTCATTCGCCGAGTCCCCAAACCCCGGTTTTCCAGTAGTCCTGTTTTGAAACATAGTAAATGTAGGTGGTGATCTCAGGTAAGACATCATGAGATCTCTCATGACTTGGCAAAATCAAATGTATTCAGAGGAAGAGCACTAACCCTTGGTATTTCCTGTTTCAGGAAAAGATGAAAGGCAAGAACAAGCTGGTGCCTCGCCTGCTGGGCATCACCAAGGACTCCGTGATGCGTGTGGATGAGAAGACCAAGGAAGTGCTGCAGGAGTGGCCACTCACCACAGTTAAGCGCTGGGCAGCCTCGCCCAAAAGCTTCACCCTGGTACGGACTGGCAATGGGGAGGACCAACACAGCCTTTGGGCCATACTGTGGGGTGGGAGAGAGAATACAAGCGCTATGGGTTTCCCTGGCCTTAGAGAGAAGTGTACAGAGGGACAGATAGTGGACAGATAGTCCACAGAGGGTGGGGACTGGTGCAGTCTTCTGTGTTCCTGATGCTGTCCCTAGCATGCCCTCAAGGGAAACTTGCTAATGCTCAGAGGCTGATCAAAGGATCCCTCTTCGTCTCTAGTTGTTTTAGAAGTTCCTAAGCTTTGTGAAATCTTGCTGAAGTGTGTTTTCCCGGCCTGCCTAGAAACAGTATACTGTACAGAGGAGATGGCATAGACTTTGGGGTAGTGTTCAAAACCAGCTCATCATCTCTCATTTCTGAGAGAGTTATCTCTCCTCTGTGAGCCTTAATGTCATTAGCTTTAACATGGGAATCATAATACCTATTTCGCAGAGGTGCTAAGATCAAACAAGATGATGATGATAAAATTCTCAGTGTGAAGTATATGGAAAGTGGGGAGAATGTAGCCCTCCCAGGCCTTCAGACCTCTGTATTCCTCCTCCCAACCTTAATAGTTGCTCTTAGCAGATTATAATTGTGTTATTTTCTTAATGATAGCCACATTGACACATGAGAATTGATAGGATTGTTATTTTGTCGAGCACGTTGAGCAATAAGAGAAATCAGTGTTGAAAGTTATCCATCTTCTGGCACTCCTGAAGTGTACTGTTCTCCAGGTCTAGGGAATATTTGAAGTATCAGCTTGTGTCTAGATCAGGTCTCATAATACGGCATCAGAAAAAAAAAGGTGTAAGGAACAGTTTTTGGAGGGAGTCTTTCGTTATCTAGTGTGATTATTGGTGGATAGACTTGCCACTAGGAAGGAATCATCAGGAAATATACCTTCTTCCCTCCTGTAGTCAGTAACTACCTCCATAGCCCTTAAGAAGAGATGTTCATACTTAGAGAACTTCCAAGGTAGGAAGTTGTGGATAACTTGGAGAAGAGACAAATCAATTAAAAGCATGTTATTTAGAAATACTAGAAGAAACAGTGAAAGGGTTCAAAGTAGTTGCCTTTGGGGATGGAAGGGATGGAAAAGAAAGCTAGGAATGGCTAGGGCAGGGACCCGCTGTGTTTTGTTATGTTCCTTTGAGTGCTATTGGTCTTTGAAAACTAGGTCCAGGTCCCATTTTGTTGAAAACAAAAAGTTATTTTAAAGACAAATTAGAAATAGTATGAGTCACAGTAACTAGCTCAAGCACAAGAGAGAATGAATATCAATGATGTTTATTAAAGTTGGATTAAAGTTTGTAACATCTTATTTCTTTTTACTCTGAGCCTTAATTTAATTTCAGGTGTTTGGAGATTTCTCCTGTTGTCTTCCTGTTATTGATTTTTAGTTCAATTCTCTTATGGTTGAAGGATATACAGTGCATAATTTTAAGTCTTCGAATTTTAAGATTTGGTTTATATCACGGGATATGGTCATTCTAGGAGAATGTTCGATGAGTACTTGACAAGAGTATTAAAATATCCATTAGACCCTGTTAACTGGTGGTGGTGTTCCAGTCTTCCCTATCCTGACAACAGTTGCAGGTTTTTGTATTTTTCCTTTCAACTTTCACTGCATGTATTTTGAAGCTCTGGTGCTTACATGCACATTTAAGATCCCTCTGTCATCTTCATGGAGAAATTGTTTTACTGTTTAATTCTTTTGTTCCTTATAAATTTGTTTCCTCTGAAATCTGCTTAATTTTAGTATAACCACTCAAGATTTTTCAAATTAATGTTTGCATGATATAGTTTTCCATCCTTTCACTTTCAACCTACCTATATTAAGACAAGGTTCTTACAAAGTGGATAAAGTTGGATTGTGCTTTTTTAAAAATCTTCTTGGTCAGTCTCTTTTAATTGGTCTATTTAGTCCATTTATATTTCAATCTAATTATTGATATATTAAGGCTTAAATCTATCATTTTATAATATTTTTCTGTTTACCCCTCCATTTCTTTTCCCCTATTTTTGTTGCCTTCTTTTGGGAGAGGTCTATTTTGGTTTATTTATAATGCTTTTGAGCATATCTCTTTGCTTAGCATTCTTAGTGATCTAGATATTACCATATATGTAAGAATAATTATAACCCACAGGTGTGGATGTTTACCACTTCAAGAGAGGCATAGAAACTTCACTTCTATTTAGGTCTCTTTACACTCCCCACTTTTTGAAAATAATTATTCAAAGAAATACTTCTGTATACATTGAACACCGCATGAGATGGTGTTACAACTTTTGCTGCAACCATAGAATATGATTAAGTAAAACTCAAGAGGTAAAGGATAAGTTTCACATTTCCTTATTTTTTTTCCTTATCTATCCTGCTGTTTTCTTTTTAATGTTCTCAGTCTCTTGTTATCATTTTCTTCGTGTTTGAAGAGTTTCCTTTAGCCATTCTTTAAAGGAAGTTAGATCTGCTAAAAATGATTCTCTCAGCTTTCGATTTTTTTTTCAGAATGTCCTTAATTCCCCTTCATTCATAAAGGATCATTTCATCAGGTATAGGATTAGACATTGACAGTTCTTTCTTTTAGCACTTGAGCCACTTCTTTCTGGCCTCCATGGTTTCAGATTAGAATTCAAATTGGTGTTCACTTGTAGATAGTATGTCACTTTCTAAAGTTCCTAGTGTGGATTTCTCAGGGTTCATTGTATTTGGAATATGCTCAGCTTTTTGAGTTTGTAGGTATATGTCTTTAGTTTGGGGATATTTTCAGCCATTATTTCTTTGAATACTTTTTTTTGGAAAGATGTATTTATTTGAGAGAGAGAGAGAGAAAGAGAGTATGTGTGAGCATGTGAGCTGATGGGGGGAGGGGCAATGGAGATGAGGAAGGAGAGAATCTCAAACAGACTCTGCACTGAGTGCAGAGCCCAGTGTGGGGCTAGATCTCACAATCCCAAGATCATGGCCTGAGCTGAAATCAAGAGTTGGACACTTAACTGACAGACCACCCAGGCGTTCCTTGAATACTTTTTTTTTGTCCCACATTCTCCCAATGTGGGATTCTGATGATATGAATGTTACATCTTTTATTATCCCATAGAACCCTGAAGGTCTGGTTTATAGGTCCTTTATTTGTTTTTTGTCTTTTGTTGAGTCTATGTTCTTTCAACTCTTGAGACTGACTACATTCTGTTCATCTGTTTTCAAGTCTACTGATTCTATGCTCTGTCATCTCCACATTACTTTATCATGTAAGTTTTTTAAATTTTAGTTATCGCATTTTTCTGTATTATAATTTTTATGTGGTTCCTTCTTCTGACTTATTTCTCTGTTGAAACCTACTATTTGTTTTGGGAGAATTTGTAATTGATGAAACATATTTTATGATGGCTGCTTTATGAGATAATTCCAATATCTGATTCTTCTCATTATTGGCATCAATTCATTATCTTTTCTTATTCATATCATAGTTGTTTGGCTCTTGATATGAGTAGTGATTTTTTTAAATTGTATCTAGGCATTATGGTTATTAAGTGAGGAGACTCTCGCTCTTACTTAAATATTCTGTTTTATTAGTCATCTTGTTCAGATTTAGTGTGGTGTTCTGGTCTCCTTTTGTGGCCTTTGCTGTGGTGTTCTGGATTGTTTTGACACTGCCCAGTTCTTACTCAAAACTTGATGGCACTGTTTGTGAAGACACTTCCTAGGCCCACCTGCTATTGCTGGGTGACCATTTTGGGGATAGGCAGAAGCTACTGGGCCTTTCTCTGTTATGCCATTGGGTGCAGGTCAGGAGGGTGCAGGCTTCATGTGACCACTGTTGCAAAAGGGTAAGACCACCTGCCTGTCTGGGTGGTGGAGTGAGGGCCAGGACGGCCTGGGCTTTCACTGCTCTGCAGCTGCTGGTGAGCACCAGCCCAGCTTGTGGAGCTGGTCTGGGGCTCCCAGATAGATCTCCATTGGGCTTCTCCTCTCCTGGTCCTTTGTCAAAAAAGGACAGGCCTTTGAAATCCTGCTTTTTGGAGATTCTGGGTTTCAGGCACTCACCTGGGAGTAATCAGATATAAAAGAAAACCTAAAAATTCACCAGAATGTGTTTTCCCAAGTCCTGTGCTCCCCAGTCAATCTACCTTTACAGCTTTCAGAGCCCTTTTACTAAATTGTAGGGTATTCAGTTATGTTTAGAGAGGAAGAGAAGGGAAAAGTGAGTCTATGCCATTTTGTTCCAGGACTAGACCTCTTTACCCTTAAAACTATAGCTACATGATGACATGATGTAGTTATATTTCTTCTAATGCCATTTTTTCAGGATTTTGGGGAGTACCAGGAAAGCTACTATTCCGTACAAACCACTGAAGGAGAGCAGATATCCCAGCTGATTGCGGGCTACATTGACATTATTCTCAAAAAGGTATTTCAGACTGATGCAAATTAGAAAAGTTGCTTTTTTAAAAACACACTTAGATGCTGCTGCTACCTGGAAAAAATAAAACAACACAAAACAACCCTAATTTGAAGTCCTTGACCCACTAATTTAATCTTAACATTAAGATTGCTTGAGTGTGCAGTCTTTTAACCTCAAGATCCCACAAGAATTTCCATTTTAGCTGAAGTTCATATTTATATTCTTACTGCCGAGTAATGAGCAATAGGGCTTCACTTAGCTAATGAATGAGACCAGCTAACCTCTCAGCATCTTCCTCTCTAGGTAGTTCTATTATGCTTTCCAGCCTCTTTAGAAACCTAGGTTGAGGTTCTGAAAATGTTCTTCATATTTTTCATGAATTTTTTTTTAAAGTAGGCTCAGTGCCCAGAGTGACACCCACTCTGGGGCCTGAACCCATGACCCCAAGACCAAGAGCTGAGCTGAGATCAAGAGGCAGGTGCACAACCAACTGAGCCACCCAGGTGTTCCTCATGAATTTTTACCAAATTACTGAATTTCATGAATTTTTATCAAATTCTCAAATATACTACTATGGTATATATAGTTATATACCATAGTGGTATTCAGACAGACTGCCAAAGACTTCAAGAAAAAGCCCACTGAAATAACCAAGTTCAACTAGAACATCGGTATTTACGTCTTGATTTTAACTGTGTGAAATTTAGTCAATGCAGTAATAAACACAGAAGGCAGGTATCTCTATATTGCGTTAAACAATGTATTTATTTTTTATTGTTACGTTTGTTTTTCTTCAGCCATCACCTACTCCAATATAAAGAATTGGGGGTAAATCTCAACATTTTTGCTTGTGTAGCTCCTTTTAGAAGGTGTCTTAAAAGGTTTTTGCATCAAGACCTGCTGAGTTTCCTTTTTGTCTCGTTTTACCTCAGAAACAAAGTAAGGATAGATTTGGATTAGAGGGGGATGAGGAGTCGACTATGCTGGAAGAGTCTGTTTCTCCAAAAAAGTAAGTATTTTTATTTATTTTTTTATTTCATGAGTCCTGTTCTGCAGTTGCTCATTTAAATCTCCTAACGTGTCGTTTTCATCAAAGGCTGGAGAGTGGGCTTCTGTTTGATTCTGTGACAGTGAAGGAGTTACTGTTTATAGAATGCTCCCTACATGCCACAGGTGTCATGAGGCAGTAGAGGGAAATGGTTAAAACATGGACTCCAGACTTCCTGGGTTCAAATCTCAAGTCACCCTCTTTTTTTTCTTTTTTGTTTCTTGAGAGTGGAGGACAGGTTGGGGGGTGGGTTGCAGAGGAATAGGGAGAGAATCTCAAGCAAGCTCCACATGTAGCGCAGAGCGTGACGGTGGGGCTTGATCTCACAACCCTGAGATCATGACCTGAGCTGAAATCAAGAGTCAGACGCTTAACCGACTGAGCCACCCAGGTGCCCCTTGGGTCTCTTTTTCAATGTGTGGCCTTGGGGACATTACACATTTCCTCTGCCCCTTCATCTGAGCTATAAAATGAGAATAATGATAGTACCACCTTATACACTTTATTTTGATGGTTGAATTATTAGTAAAGCACATGAAACAGTGCCTGGCACATCATAAATACTGTTCTTAACATCATCATCACTTTCAATTCAGAACAGTCTCAACCCCATTTTATATGTAAGGAAACTGAGATTTATTAAAATTAAGTAACATCTAATAGGTGTTACTTTGGGGGAATCTGAGCAGCTGCTCCCCCTTATGTTACATAGAGCATTGTGATAATACATTTCTTGCATACACTTTACTCCGTATGTCTAGCATGCTGTCTCATTTCACCCCAATAACAACCCCCGATGCAAGAGGTAGACCAGATGTTTCTGCCTGTCCATGACTGAGGAAACCAAAGCTCTGAAAATTACTTCAGATGCACCCATGAGGCAGGGCCATGAGTCAGTTCAGATCTTGTGATGTTTCTTACCGCAAACTGCCAGAAAGTTCTAGAAAATTCATATTGAATTTGCTAAGTCATATTGATTGCTTCTCGAACATTGCCATACTCCATCACTTTGTCTCTATTGGCTTCATAATCACCTTGAAGGTGCTTTTCCCTTTGTCCCCTATTTTAGTACACAATTTGGAACCAAACCTGACGATGCTATGCATTTCACGTACATGGTACCCTCTTGTAGAGCACCTTAAGTCCTTGGAATTATTAATGACCATTAGCTGGAAATCAGTAAGCTAGTGCTTTCTGGCAGGTTGAGTTGTTCCCCTCAGAGGACTCTGCTGCACTTGTCCTTCTAAGAGCAGCTGAGTAAGTGTCTGAGCCCAGAGCACTAACACTCTTTACTGCCTTTTACCATGGAAGCCCCTTCCCACTGCCTAGGGCATCATGGTGGGGTCTGATCAAGGCAAGCAGGAAGAATGGTCCAGGTTGGTTCCCATCACAAGACCTGCCACTTCTCCCTGCATTAGACATTGGCTAAGATCACAGGATGCCCCTGACTTCCTCCTGGGGCCCCCACATCTACCCTTCCTAGTGCCAACCGTGCCACACAGACATCCCTGTTCTTCCACAGATTCCTGCTCTCTAGTATCCTAGCCTGCCTCATGAGCTTTGCCCTGGGTAATAGGGAATGATCTGAAGGTTGGAGAACCCTGGGAAAGAGGCCTGGTCCCTTAATGCAGCTGCTCACCTAATCTGCCCCTACAAACACACACACACACACACACACACACACACACACATACACACTCACTCTCTCTCTCTCTCTCTCTCTCTCTTTCTCCTCCCCGCCCCACCCCAGACTCTCCCTGGATGGGGTCTGTGCTCTGGGCTACTGCACAGATAGTCCACCTTCACATGCTCAAAGTCCTTACTACTCATTCTAAAAACATATCGGAAGTAAAAAACTGTTTTTTTTGTTGTTGTTGTTGTTGTTGTTGTTTTGTTTTGTTTTTACTAAATGTCCTAGGAATCTTCCTGGACTTTTTTTTTTTTTAAAGATTTTTTTATTTATTTAACAGAGAGAGAGAGAGATCACAAGCATGCAGAGAGGCTGGCAGAGAGAGAGAGGGGGAAGCAGTATCCCTGCCAAGCAGAGAGCCCAATGCGGGACTTGATCCCAGGACCCTGAGATCATGACCTGAGCCGAAGGCAGAGGCTTTAACCCACTGAGCCACCCAGGCGCCCTCTTCCTGGACTTTTTAAAAAATCATCTGGAGGAGGTGCCAAAGTCTATCCTATCATCAAGGCTCCAAAAGTGTTTAAGTGCTCTCTGTGGTCAGTGGCCTTGGACCTGGGGGATGAGAGCTAAGCTGTGGGAGATTCTCTTTTAGTTCCTTTCTGTACCTCTCCTTTCAGTCTAAGGCTAAATGACCTATGTCCCCGATGCCTAGACTAGAACCTGGCCCACAGAGATATTTGTTGAATGAATGCTATTTCAGGTGGAATTTACTAATAGATCAATGTATCCAAAACTTTTACATACACCTGGAACATCATTGGTACAGAAACATAACAAATGGTGGGGGGGGATTCTTAAGCAAAGCTAATTGGCTAATATCATGAACCAACTGGGAATGCTTATTTGTATCAGTAACTGTAAAAAGATTCATCTCAGGATTCTTGAGTACTTCGGTGCTGCCTCACTCACAGTTCCATCTGTATATACGTCTTTTGAGTTGGCCTCCACAGCATAACGCAGCAAACAGCTGTGACGCTCATGGTGTCTTATCATGTCACTGTATGTGAGTGGCCACCTCCCAGTGACCAAACCCCTGTCCCCTGCAGGTCCACCATCTTGCAGCAGCAGTTCAATCGGGCTGGGAAGGTGGAGCACGGCTCCGTGGCGCTGCCTGCCGTGATGCGTTCGGGCTCCAGCGGGCCCGAGACCTTCAACATGGGCAGCATGCCATCACCGCAGCAGCAGGTCGTGGTTGGTCAGATGCACCGAGGGCACATGCCCCCGCTGGTGAGGCGTCCCCCACGCTGGCACTGGGCGTTGGTAGGCTGCCTGTGATGCGCAGGGAGAGAAACCAGCCTGGGAGAGCTTGTGTGCACTGTCACGTTCTCACCCGTTCCCCTCCGAGCCGTGGCTCTTTGCTGCATGGTCCCAGTGCCTGGCTACTCGGTGCTCTCTTTAAATGGGGTGTCTTAGTAACTCCCTGTGTAGAATCATGGGTGTCCTCAGGGGCTGGAGGGCAACTGTGACCTCTCCACGTGACTGGCGATACAGAGTATGGAGAGCCCTGCTTCCCTGCCTTAACAGCATCAAGTTGCTATTTAGCCCAGGGTGGCCCTCGGCGGGTCTTAGAAATAGACCGGGTCTCTAGCGATCCACGCTCTCCCCTGAGCGGATCGTTGTCTCTTGTCGCTGCCGATCTGCCTGCTCAGGAATCAGGTGCTGCTGGGGAAGAACTTTATAAAAGCTGAAAAGCCTAAAAGCTCAAAAGTGATTTGACTCTGAAGAAACATGTTGACTATAGGTTGGAGTGCAGTCCTTTCTTACTTAGTAAGCACAGTTCTGGGGTGGAACATGTTTCCTATGTATGAGCTCTTTTGTCCTCATTACTCGGAGTGGAGTAGCTCCCTTGCAAGGGCTCTCTCTGAGTCTTCTGGCCAACTGATTAAGCTCTCCACGCTCTCCTGATCACAACCTCTCTATGGCATACACCCACATTGAGCATTCTATTCATACAATCTCTGTCCCAGCCCCCTGCTTGAAATGGGAGGTGCTTGGGGTTGTGGAGACACAGCGTGGACCACTCTGTCTTGAGCCTGGAGTTCAGTTTGGCCGTGTTTTGTATAGAGGGCGGTGTCACTCCCAGGAGAGAGGTTATGAATGCCCTGTGGTCATCTGCCTTTGTAGACCTCGGCCCAGCAGGCCCTCATGGGGACCATCAACACAAGCATGCACGCTGTCCAGCAGGCCCAGGACGACCTCAGCGAGCTGGATTCACTGCCACCCCTCGGCCAGGATATGGTAAATACTGTTCATGCTTTTCATTCGGGTCTCTGCCTGGCACAAAGCGCGACTTTGCATTTTGTCTGCTTTCAGCTGGGAAAATCTTTATCCAGCCAGGTGAAATGGAAACACATGGGTTTGTTTTGTTTTGTTTTCCCCAATATATGGAGTCTTTATAGTGAGGTGGTACCCCCAGGAAGAGAATCATGGGCTGCTACTGGGTATTGGCAATACCTCTCAAGGGCCAAGAACTTCAATTCTGGAGTCACATGATCTGGGTTCAAATCCCAGTTCCACTACTAGCGTCTGTGTGAATCCGGGCAACTTACTCTCTATACGCTTCCATTTTGTCGTGCATGCACGGGGTCCTTAGGAAGACGTGGTAATCCCGTCGTGTGCAGAGTTCTTAGCATGTAGTGAGAGCTCAGTGAGCATTAGCTGTTATCAGTGCTTCTCAAATGTTAGCATGCATCAGTCACCTGGAAGACTCGTTTAAACAGATTGCTGGGCTCCATCCCCTCTTTCCTGACTCAGTAGGTCTGGGGTAGGCCCTGAGATTTTCTGCCTTTGCAACAAGTCCTCAGGTCCTCCTCTGCTGTCTCAGGACCACACTTTGAGAACCACCGCATTACCATTCAGCTCCTCAGCAGGGCAGGGTAATTAGCTGCCTTTCTGTAGGTGCTGCCACATGAAATTACCTAGCCCCTTCCTACTCTGACTGCGGCCCGCAGGCCAGCAGCATTGCTAATACATAAGATCTCTTGAGAGGTGTGGAATTTTAGGCCTTGCCCCAACCTTCGGAATCAGAATCTGCATTTTCATGGACTTCCAGCTGTTTGCTGTGCACATTAAAGTTGATGAAGCACTGGCTGGCACTGTCCTTCCCAGACATGCTTTGCATGTTAGAATTACCTGGGGGAGCTTAAAGAACCAAGCCTGAGGCCCAACTCAAACCAGAAAAAAATCCTGCCGTGAAGGTTGGAGCCTCTGCTTGTTTCATCTCTCAAGGTGGTTCTAGTGGACAATCAGGCCTGAAAACCACCCCGTGAGGACTCACAGAGCCATTCCAGGCCAGGGCCGAGATGCAGTCTGTCGCCCCATCTTGTCCCACCAGGATAACTGTCCTGCAGGACCTCCCTGAATGCTGTGACTTTCGCTTGCTTGCCTTCCTTCAGGTGCTGCTGTACTCAGTGCTTCGTATCCCAAGTACCTGAAATCATTAACACAGTCTTCGTGGGGGATCTTCAGAGTGAAAATACATGAGGCAGACCACCGCCCCCATATCCAGCACCATTGTGAGATGGCTTTAAAATATTTGGACTTGACAGTCCTGCTTCACCAACTTTTAAAGCATTGGTATACCAAAAAATAGGATTAGTGCTAGACACATCCTAAATCTCAATGAATATTTTTGGCATGTTTTGGGAAGCAGATCGGCATCGTCTGTTGCCGCAGGGTCATCGTTATGAATGGAAATGATCACTTAGTGGCTAAGTCCAGAAATGCCAGGAAATAGAGACTTTGCTATGTATAGGTTCCCATGAACATAAAGTATAAGATCTGGAAAGGTTTGTAAAAACCACTGAATTCCTACAGTAGAAGAAATGTAATTCACAGGACCTAGATGTAATATGCCCGAGGTCATGTCACTTGTCAGTGATAGAGCTAGATCTAGAACAGAGGTCTCGACCCATTTCCCGCCACGCCCACCCCGGCCCAGTCCTTCCAGGAAAGGTGCCCTGTCTACACCACATTCGTGTTAACAAAAGACAATCTTTATACCGACAGAGGACACTCGTGAGCTGCAATTCTAATTCTAACCCTGCTCTCTTGTTTTTTACAAGGTAGAAATTAACAACAGTTGTGGTTACTGGTGTACAGTAATATGATGAGACATTAATTCTCATTTTTTATTAAATTTACCTAAATAAAGCCATGTGGAACTTTCCTAAGATCCTAAAAGCTCAAGAAAAAAACAGTGGAGGCAGCATGGAGGACGTCTGTGCTGTTTGCCATCAGTAAATGAACCAGGGGCCTGTTAAAGACCTTGCTTAAGATGACCGGAGGGCCTCGCTGGTGCCCGCCCATAACAAGAGTACAGACAAAATGCTGGTCTCATTTTATGGCACGACGTCTCTGGTGTCCCAGGCAGTCTCACGCAGTGACTGTGTCATGCCCTTGTCTGGTTTTGCAGGCGTCTCGGGTGTGGGTTCAGAACAAAGTCGACGAGTCCAAACACGAAATCCACTCTCAGGTGGATGCGATCACAGCTGGAACAGCTTCGGTGGTTAACCTCACTGCTGGTGAGTCTCTGAGGGCTTGGTGCTGTCTTGTGGTTTTGCTTTAGAAACAATCACTATTCTTTGATTGAAACAACAGATTTTCAGAGGATGAGAGGCTCGTCTATTTTTAGGCGCTCTGAGTGCTGCAGGCACTTCTTCACACTGACCCTGGAGGAAGGTGGGGAGCATCTCATTCCTTTCTGTCGATATCACGCATCCTTCAACAAGCCCTTACGTAGTTCTGCTTACCGTCCACCCGTCTGCGGGACGGACTGCGAAGTGTGCGGGAGTTGGTTTCTCCCTTCTGGCAGCTTACAGTCTCAAACAGGTTTGGGAGGGATAGATCCAACACACGGGCCCCCATCTGTTTTGTCCCACAGTAGTCTCATCACACCTCTCAAGGTCGGTGAGAGCCCACAAATGTCTCGGCTTCTCCGTGCAGCATTTCAGTGCCTCAGCTGCTGACGGGCACCCAAGAGAAAGAGCCACAGGATGCCCAGACTTCCTTTGGAACTGTCCAGGGGCTCGTGTTCAGTGTTGCAGTGTAGGAGACCTCCGGGCGAAAGGACTTGGGAGGAGCAGCGCCTCGGAGACAGGGAGCCGGGCATCTCCCTGTGTGTGTGCGGCTCTGTGTCCAGCTCCCTCAGAGTGATGGCTGAAGCCCACCCCTATCTGGGCTCTCCTCACCCTTCACCGCCCTCCTGTGATGGTGGTGGCCCTTCTCTGTCCCAGGTGACCCTGCAGACACCGACTACACAGCAGTGGGATGTGCGATCACCACCATTTCTTCCAACCTGACGGAGATGTCCAAGGGCGTGAAGCTGTTGGCGGCTCTGATGGACGACGAAGTGGGCAGTGGGGAAGACCTGCTCAGAGCTGCGAGGACCCTCGCGGGGGCAGTGTCAGACCTGCTGAAGGCTGTGCAGCCTACTTCTGGAGAGGTGAGCTCTTGGGGCATGCGGTCACTCAGGTTCTGACGAGGCAGGTGCGGCCTTAAGTGCTACAGGGCTCCCGCTCCAAAGCTGTTCTTCCATCCTGGTGGGGCATGTAATGAGACTGTGGGGTTTGGATTTGGTGAACTGGGTACAGAATCTATGGTTCAACTTTTGGGACTGGTTGAGCTGCTAGTGGAAAACCTCCCTGTCCCCTCACCCCAGGGTACTTGGTTAGATTCAACCTCAGAAACATACATAGTCAATACACATTTGAAGGGGATACAGGATGGTGCCCTAATTTCTGTAAAGTGCATATCACCTTCCTACCAGCTGAGCAGGACTCATTGATTGAACATTTCAAATCAATCCGCCTGTGCCTACTTCGTGAGACATCAGGCATTTCCTTGCACAGATTTTTTTTTAAAGATTTTATTTATTTGACAGAGAGAAAGAACACAAGGAGGCAGAGAGACAGGCAGAGGGAGAGGGAGAAGCAGGCTCCATGTTGAGCACGGAGCCTGATGTGGGGCTCAATCCCAGGACCCTGAGATCATGACCTGAGCCGAAGGCAGAAACTTAACCCACTGAGCCACCCAGGCTTGCAAAGATTTTACCGGGATATTTAGGTCTCCTCTCTGGCCAATAGACTCTCATCTAGGTGCAGGAGGAGGCCACTCCCTCAGGATTCCTCTTGCTACCTTGCTGTCTGATGGCACTGTGGAGGAAATGCATTTTCTTTCTAACCAGTGTGTGTTTTTCTAGCCTCGACAGACAGTTTTGACTGCTGCTGGAAGCATTGGACAAGCCAGTGGGGATCTTCTGAGACAGATTGGAGAGAACGAGACAGATGAGCGATTCCAAGTAAGATATTTGCAGCCCGTAATGTCGGACAGGTGTCTAAGTGATGGTCTAGACCCAAACAGGGAGAATGTGTGAAAAACCAAATCTTTTTTGGGTTGTCAAGAATGAGATTGAGGTGGATTTTCTTGGGGGCAAGCCTTGTTAGTTTTTTTAAATTTTCAGTTAAAAAACTCACTTCCTTTCATATCTTGCATCATTGTTGTAAAGCACTTATTTAGCTGTTCTCACTGGTCATGACATATGCCGGATGTTCATTAAACACAAAAGTGGAGAGAATGATGCCATGAACTTCCTTGTGTCTGCCATCCAATCTCTGTAATTATCGACTCATGGCCAGTCTTGTTTCCTCTTCTGGGCACAGTTTTTAGCTGCATTGTTCTGGAGTCTGCATAAAAGAGAGGATACATGTGCTCCCGTACACTGTGTTCACACAGAGCATGGGCTCTCCTTCATGGTCAGAGGTGGGTCTGTTGTCTGTATCATATCCAAAAGCAGCATAGTGGGGACTTTTTTCTTTCGGTCACCCTTCTTGTTGCATACCAAAGATATGTGCCATTCGTCCTCTGCTGCACAGCCGTAGCCCCTGCTTACGGCCTGTGTGATGGGCTGTCTGCTCCGGGAGGAGCTCAGCTTCTCTGCCTCCATTCCCAGATGCCACAGACAAGGGGAGCTCCAGGCTATACTGAACTTGTCCACTCCCATCCTTGTGGGCAGCTGCCCTTCGTGCCTTTCTCTTCTTCCTAAGACCGAATTTTAAATAGTATGTAATTACATTCTCATTCAACTTACCGTTGGAGCCCAGATTCTCTGCAAGATGCTTTTTCCAAATCTTATGTCACGTTTCCTAGTAACATTCAGAATAAAAAGATCATTCAGCTTTACTGTAGAATTCAAGTTTGTTGCTTCGTGAGTGGCAGTTCTGTATGCTGTGTTCTCTGGAACTACCAGACTCCATCTGCGCAAGATGCGTGAGTTATGCTAAGACGTGGCCGTACCTGTTGTGATACATGGAACTTGCATCTACAGATGCGTTTGTTTCTTCTCTACTTTCCGCACACCTGTGTGCTGTGGCCGGAAGACTCATTCATGTCCTCTTCATGTTCATGATTGAACATTCATGTCTTGATGGAGGGTGAGCCCCGTAAGGGGGGGTAGCAGTATTCCTGGAAACCATTTCTATGCCGGGATGGCCAGTAGTAATTTCACTCAAAGAGAATTGACGCAGACCACGTAAGTATATCCCACGAAATGCTAATGAACTGCGACCCTGTCCTGACTTCCCATGAGCTGGATCCCCAAACTGCCCTTGTATTAGCTATTGCTTTTTGTATTAGAGCAGGAAATTCTTTGTAGGCAGGCACCTGCTTAGAAATTGGGTAAATATGACATTCAGCTGTTCGTTTACTTGGCTTTACTAACATGAAATGGTCAACTTACTTTCTTCAAAAATGTGATCGCTTTCCCAGAGTGTTTGGAACAGTTGAGAAGAAAGTCACGGTTCTTCCTGTAGACATTGCATGCATCTTGGTTTGCTGAAGGCTTTTTCTTTTCTTTCTCTCTTTGACAGACAGTTATCATCACATATGAATGCAAACTCTGCTTCCTGTGGTTTGTATTCAGACATGCTAGGAAAGCAGGCTCAGATTCACAGTATGGTCCTGAAGAGGCTTTCGTGCCGGGAAAAGGCCTGACTCGAATGCTTTCCGTTTCTGTAAGATCTCTGGGCAAAGCTCAGTGCAGTAAGGTGATCCCGTACCCTTCTCCAGTTATGAGTAGCCCCTGGCTTACTAACATTGGATTTCTTATGCACTATTTTTCTGATTCTTGAGATCTTATCTCAGAGCTTTTCTTGGGTTCTCAATGTACTGCATGTTCCCAGAGTTAACAAAGATTTATTTTACACGGGCTACATAATCATGGTCTTGTTGAAAGGTTTGACAAAGGCCTTGTCAGCAACTGTGGCTGTCGTATCACATTCTTTTTCTAACTGTATTTTTTTTGGACAAAATTAATAGGAGGAACAGGATTTCTTTAATGAGTCTAACAAAAGGCCTTTAGAACAATCGTGAGTCTACATGACCAGATCTTGGTCCCTCTGTGAAAAGACGAATTCATATCAAGTGAAAGAGGACCATGACCCACTTTGGAAAGATATTTTTAAAAAATTTTGTAAATAATTTGTGACGTTCACATTGAGTGTTTGCTGAGCATCAAGATAGGTGTTCAAGAGCCGTAACTTCACAGGCCGTGTTGGGGGCAGTTTCTAAAAGTTACGTGGCAGAGAAGTGCCAATCAGATCCTAAAAGCATCTTCAACTTTTGGAACCTCAGGATTTGCTTTTTTCTTGGACATCTAATAAACATTGGAGACCTAAAAGAAAGACTGGACTACACTGTTTCTTTAAGAGTGCTTGGGTTTTGTCCATTTTAAAATTGGTTTATGTGGTAGGTTTATGGGTTTCTGATCTGCCTAGATAGCATGTAGTTTCTGCTCTGTGTAACATTGTGCAGGCTGAGCCCTCTCTCTCCAACATATCTCTTCATAAAATATCTCCTTGTAAAGACTCTGTGGGTGCCCTTTGCATTCAGAATCAAAAGTGCTTTTCATTATCTGATGAATTAATAAAGACTTCTGACCACATTTCCTCTGGGAGAAGGCCTTGACATGTTTGTTCAAAATAAAAATGCCTCATAAGTTTGGGATGTGTTCGGGAAGGCATTTCCAAACCAAATAAACTACCTTCGGTATTAAAAGCAAAGAAGCAAATTAAATGTTAACAGTGGTTATTCTTCAGGTCACCCAGGTGGGTGACTAATCTGGTGGGCTGAATCAAAGGATTCTCCATCGTGCAGACAGAACACCTTTTTGTTGAGTCAAAGTATGAACTGAGGCTCAAAGCTCCTTGCATCTTCAGTGAGGTTGTAGCTTGTAGCTCGTTATTTATGCAGGCTTCCTTTCCACTTCCCGTAATAACTTAATCCCTATCCAGAAGACTACAGAACACTGAGAAGAACTTCCGTTCAGAGCACTCCTTGACTTGAGCCATAGGTATTGTCTGTGCGTGTCCAACATTGCCCTCTGGAGGCAGAGATGTGCCTGAATTGCTGATGGTGCCTTGGATCCTTGTGCAAAATGGAAATCCAAGTGATAAATTTTCAAGGGACAGCAGAACACGATGACTTGGAGGCCACGAATTCTATCCTCCCCGCAGTATGTTGTATTTATGGCATCTGGCTATAGTTTAGCTTTTCTTGAGCTACTGCACCGACCACATCTTCAAGAGACTTAATCAAGACTCCCAGTGTTAGAGAGGTACATGAATATGAATCCATGCTTAAAACAAAAACCCTCCCCTGAAATGACGCTGTTTTAGATTTAAACCTTATGCTACTGAATACGTAGGAGACATGTCATTAGGACACAAGTCTCTTTCTTTAATTACGTTTAAGGGTGAGTTGACATTTCAGAAAAATAAGTGTCTTAGGAAGGACTGGTAAGAAAAAGTTCAAATGGAATTTTAGTAAAATGTTACCACATTTTATTTCTAGGCTATAAACGGGGATTAAAAAAAAAAATAAATGACTGGTTTTTTATTCCCCGTCTTAGGATGTTTTAATGAGTTTGGCCAAAGCTGTTGCCAATGCTGCTGCCATGTTGGTATTAAAGGCGAAGAATGTTGCCCAAGTAGCTGAAGACACAGTCCTACAGAACAGGGTGATTGCTGCTGCCACCCAGTGTGCCCTCTCTACCTCCCAGCTTGTGGCGTGTGCCAAGGTAAGCCAGCTGGCACGATGGGCCCGTTCCTCCAAGGGTCACACGCTCTGGTCTGCCTCCAGTCACTGGGGGCAAACAGAGGTGGAATTTGTTACAATTGTCTGAGATTTAGAGCTTGCTTCAGGTGTCGTCAAGATAACACAATAGGATTTTGGCATTAACTGCCCCCTTGTGCTTTTATCATTTGTTCTTTGCCCAAGTCCTCAGGCAGGGGTCCCTGACTGTGTCTAATGGCTATTTCTGCTCGCAGATCACCGTGTCTCCCCTTCGGACTTCTCAGTGTGTCTTCTTTACACCTGCACGCAAAGAGTTGTTGGGTTGTACGGAAATGTAGTAGAGCCTCATGCATGGTCCATAGATAATCTGCCGATTTGGGGGTGCCCCTCCTGCGCTGTACAGTGTCAGAGTGAGGATAATCGGGTTTAAGTTCATGTTTAAGTTCATGTTTGAGTTGACCATTACGATGTGCACACGCTGGGTGTCAAACTCCACCTTGTGCAGCACATCCTCCCCAGTTTGCCGAACAGGGAACTGAGGCCCCTAGATGTTCACAAGTGGCTTGAGGCCCCAAAAGTCATCCGAGGCAGAACCGGGGTAATCTCAGGCCGTCGGATTTCATGTACCATTTCCTCCCCAACACGTGTTCATGCATCCAAAGATGGGAGGTGTCCGTTTTCTCAATTTGATGACGTAACATCTTCTGTAGATCCATGACCAGCTTAGCCTCGCATGTCCTATCCTCCAGTGGGATTTGTAGTGTCAGAAGGAGCAGTCCTCAAGGTATCACTTGTGCTTTCCTTGGGCACTCTCCAAGTACCCACCGACAGATAACTGACAGAAATCCCCCTGTTCTTTCTTTCTTTATTTTTTAAAAGATTTTATTTATTTATTTGACAGAGACACATCGAGAGAGGGAACACCAGCGAGGGGGGTGGGGGGGTAGGAGAGGGAGAAGCAGGCTTCCTGCTGAGCAGGGAGCCCAATGCAGGGCTCGATCCCAGGACCCGGGATCATGACCTGAGCCGAAGGCAGACACTTAACAACTGAGCCACCCACCCCCCATTCTTTAAAGTACCAAGAGGTACAGAGTTCCAGATGTCTCTAGAAAAGAAATACAATTCCCTTAGTCTTGTTATTCTAGTTCAGAGGACTCAAGTTAGAGGTTCCTAAAAGCAGGAGGCATGACATCAATACCAGAAATTTCTCTCTGTGGAAGTAGTCAATAGTATAGTTATGTATGACTGATGAAGATAAAAATTCGTGGGCATCAGAAGTCACCAAAACAGAGTGAAATTGTGAAGTATGAGAAACCATGGTGACGGTTTAGTGTAACCCTCGGTCCTCTAAGGAACGGAGGCACAAAGCAGGAAGGGACTTGGTGGAAAGGGCACGGTGAGGACCGGGAGTTGACTCTCAGTGCCCACGACCTGCTCCTGTGTCCCTTCAGGTGGTGAGCCCCACCATCAGCTCCCCCGTGTGTCAGGAGCAGCTGATTGAAGCAGGGAAGCTCGTGGACCGTTCGGTGGAGAACTGTGTCCGTGCCTGCCAAGCGGCCACCGACGACAGCGAGCTCCTGAAGCAGGTCAGCGCAGCGGCCAGCGTGGTCAGCCAGGCCCTGCACGATCTCCTGCAGCACGTGCGACAGTTCGCCAGCCGCGGCGAGCCCATCGGCCGCTACGACCAGGCCACCGACACCATCATGTGTGTCACCGAGAGCATCTTCAGTTCCATGGGCGACGCTGGTGAGGGGCGACGCCGTGGGTGGATGGGTCTCCTTGGGGTTCCCTTGTGGGGACAATGGCAAGAAAGGTGATGGCTGCCTGGCCATGGTGGGTTGTCCTCAGCCTCTCTCAGAGACTTCCTCACTGAAACTCGGAGAAAGATGGAAGACTCCTAATGGGCCCTTCCATAGCAACAAGAATTCGTTAACCAGCCTTTTTAAATAACTTCTTGGCAAATGCCGTTCATTTGAAGGAACGTGCTGGACATGGCATGGTAAAGAGGCAGCCACAGGAGGAGACAGGAATGAAGCTTGGAAGGAAAACTCTATTCCAGTCACAAGTCCCTGAGAGACGGGCACCATGTGCCATACACAGTCCCAGGGGAAGCACCGGGTTTGGTCTGGTTGCAGAAGACACGACTGAAGGGAGAGCTTCGGTTGTGGCCTTTATTGGGATTTCTATTCGAAAGGCAAGGCAGGGCAAGGTGAACAGCTTGGGACTGCTTAGTTTGACTGTTTTCACCAGGCTCTACCTAGTTGCCTGGTATCAGGCTCTGGGATGACTGAGGCCTAAGGATATTGCCTCCAGGGCTATACGGGCCCCATAGGGGAGGCGTGGCTCCTGGCTAGTTAATTTGTTTATCAAAGGCTGGCTGGAGTTTTGCTATCTCTAGAAGTTGGCCTAGCCTGCCGAAGGGCAGTCTCTCTCTAGCCAGAAAGGTTTTTGTGTTTTTTTTTTTTTTTAAGATGTCAAAGATCATAATATACAGAAAATTTGAAATAGATACAATGCACCCTTTAGTCTATCGGTTGAAAAGTAAATCTTCCCAGACCCAGGCCATTTCTATCCCATCTAAATCTCCAGATTTGGCAACTCACCAGTTTCTCTTTTACATGTCCAGAAATTTTTGACCTTCCAAAGTCTCATATGTTCGTGTGTGTGTGTGTGTTTATGTGTGTATAATACCATCTTTCTTTCTGTATAAATGAATTGCATTATTTATACTCTCCTGCAACCTTTTTTTTCTCTTAATATATCTTTAAAGACATTTTTCATGTTCACCTACAGGGCTAATCTTTTTAATGGCAGCATAATATTCTACTCTATGGAATTCTATCCTAATTTACTTAACCAATTATCTTTAGGTAAACATGTAGGTGATTTCCAAGTTTTTTGGTCTGCTTCTTACTTTGCTTTGCTTTAACAAAAATAATACTACAGTAACTATTTTATCTTGGTATACTTTGGGGGCTATATGTAATAAGTGGAATTTTTGGACCAATAAGTATGTACAATGTGTGTGTATGAACTTTCTTACTCTTTGCAACCCTACCAGTAGTTTGCAACCCTCTGCTTTAGAACTCTACCAGTAGTTTGTAAGACATTTGTTTTCTTACTTCCTGGTTGGCACAGAGCTATTCTTTGTAATAAATATTTAAAACAAACAAACAAACAACATAAAAAGCTTGTGCTTTCCTATATCTTCCTTACATGGTTTAAGAAGGTTGGAATACTATGCACATTTGGATTTTTTGGTTGTTGTTTTATTTTTCAATAAACCTTTTATTTTGGAATGCTTTCACATTTACAGAAAAGTTATAGAGGCTATACAGGGAGTACTTATTACCCTTCCCATTTTCCCTCATTTTTTTGCATCTTCCCTAACCCACAGCACATTTGTCAGAACTAGGAGATTACTGTGGTGCATAACTGTTCACTGCTGACAGGATTCAGATTTAACCAGTTTTCCCCCTCAAGTCCTTCTACCATCCCAGGATCCAATCCACAATACCTTGAATTTAGCACATCTCAATATTTATGAAAGCTTTTTTCCCCTCCTTAATGTCAGTGTTTTGGCATCCTTCTCAGATGACCTTTGGGAGAGGAAAAATTCCCTTACATCTGAGTAGTTTTATTTTAAATGTTTACTCTTATACCCCTCCTACTTCTAGAAGAAAATTGAAATAGATATCAATAAAAACCACAGGAACCATAAAACCAAACAATTACTAACCATAAGATCAAAACCAGCACTGGGAAGAAAAGGGTGAGCAAACAGAAAACTGATAGGAAAACCTGAGCCAAGGCAAATCTTCGGAGTTGAGCATGAGTCCTGTTACTGAGAGCCAAACAACACAAATACAATGGATCCTGTGATGTTATTCATCTGGAGTTAAGTAACATACAAATTCTTTAAAATTTTAAAAATAATTTTTATGCCATTATGCAGAGTTTATTATAAGGACTTTGGAGTAAGTCATTCTTGAAGGGAGGTAAATAATATTTTCTAAATAAATATTTTACTCAATCATGTAATAAATCCACATAACTTTGTTCCTGCCTTCTCTTTCCAAAGAACTCCTCTTTGCTTCCTTGTGTCCTGTTGATCCCTCAGGGTTCAAGGTGGAAGTTGGTTGTGTTTGGGGTGGATAGTCCTGCCAGCCACCGGGAGTATTTTTGGTCCTGGGTCTAAGTGGGCTGCCTTGCTTAGGACTAGAGTTTGGGGGCTCCCTTCTCTCTGTCCCCCTTGCCAGAGGTGTGGAGACTAGACTGTGCAGGTTTTGAGCTTTAGAAAGCAGACGGACAGATGGCATTCTCAATCCCATCCCGTAGGTGAAATGGTGCGCCAGGCCCGGGTCCTGGCCCAGGCCACCTCAGACCTCGTCAACGCCATGAGGTCTGATGCAGAAGCTGAAATCGACATGGAGAACTCAAAGAAGCTCCTGGCGGCCGCGAAACTCCTGGCCGACTCCACGGCTCGCATGGTGGAAGCTGCAAAGGTATTGGATTGGATTTGTTCAACGGGAAAGGGAACATTATTAAGAGTTAGGATTTGGAAGGTACCCTGAAGATAAAGAACGGTCAGGAGAGTGTGCATTTTTGTGGTTTAAGACCTATACGGTTGTGTCACGTTTGACCTTGTTGCACTGGGAAAGAAGGGCATGGAACATGAGAATAACACTCTTTGAGGGGACTGGTGCTGACTCAGCTGTCGGGGACAAAGTCCTTGCTCAGTGAGGGCGCTCTGTGCAGGAGGGGGTGGGGATGACGGGGGGGGGGGGGGGGGGAGGGTGGTTATCGCCACCGGCTTACTGCAAATGGTGATTCATTTAAACTGGAGATGATCAACAGCAGATTCAAATAGGCCTCTTCTTTTGCCTGCAACCTGAATATTACTTTGACCTCCGTTTGACTTCACTGTAAACTCCCATCAAGATTTTACATAGTAGAGGGCTTCCTGCCTCACTCTCCTTCAAATCCCAGTAGCGGTTTTAAATATTATATAACAGCCTGAATGAAGAGTGAAAAGTCAGCTCTCTGCTCTTTTGACAGCTGTGCTTCAGCATGCAGCTTCTAAAAGCCAGTGATGTTTATCTCAGGGCTCTGTTTCAGAGCCCCCCCGCCATCATAAAACATTAAAATGCACATGTCTCAGTTCTACCCCCAAAGACCCTGATTCACAAGGTCACTGGGGGGGAACTGTGTGTGTGCCTGCAAGTCAGTTCCACAGAAGATTCTGATGCCCACCTTGAGGTGAGGACTGCATTCCGGGGATAAAGCTGTCTTTTTTAATGTTCCTCTTTTTGTTATTATCCAACTTGCGTGCGTTTTTGGTGGAATTAATGGAAAAAGCAGATGGCTATAAATAAAATAAAAATCAGCTTAAGATAACAAGTTTAATGTATTTCTGTGCATTTAAGATTCATTAAAAGCCCCCACATTGTATCCTAATCTCCCTGGCCTCCAGCAGAATACCAGTGCATCTCAACCTACCTTCTTTGACTTCTTTGACTTAAAATGTGTTATGACATGCGGTGAATCATGTAGAGCTTCCTCAACTGACTCACCATTGTAGTCGCCGGGGGACTGTGATTTCTTGGAGGTACCTCGTGAACAGGCTGAAGAGAAACCCAAGGAGGGGCAGGGTCTGAACTTTCTTTCTCTTTCCCCTTAGCCCTGTTTCAACTGAGAAGCTCTGCCCTTAACTGCCCCTTTTAGCCAAATATATTTATTAGGGATTTATGCAGTGGTTAATTTCTTTATGGTTTTTATGAATTCTGCCCCCTGCTTCTAAGTCTAAGCATAGCTATTTTAAGCAAACTTTCATCTGCTGGCACAAAAATTAACTGGCAGACTAGAAAGAAGCTTAGTGCAAAATCTAATCAATCCCTATTAACAAATAGGAAAATAAAACTTGAAACGATTAAGCCTACTATCACATAATCAGGATTGAGCTGGGACCATTGTGTATTTTCTGTTTCTAGATTTGTGGTGCTCACCAGGCCTTACTGAATGTACCACAGTACCAGAAACTTGTTTACGTATTTATTTCTGATTATTTCTGTCAGATGAGACAATGGTGTTTCTATACATTCTTTTAATTAAAAGTTGTCACAGGGTCTTCGTGACAGTATTTTAATTGGCTGAATTTTGTTGAAAGCTAAAGGATCTATGATGGTTAAAGCTCCAAAAAATATATTTATGTCCAGAAAAAAATACATTTCATAATCAGTAACCAAGATTCTGGGCCAAGACTAGTACCTCATATCTAATGGACATTCATCGTGAAAGAGACGTTGCTAAGGAAGGATCCACATGCCCACTTCAGACTCAAGTACAGAAATGATGATTTTCTGCTGCCCAAAATACCAGAGGAAGGCAAGTGTAGGAGTGGTTTAAATATCTGATGACCAAGGAAATAAAATAAAATGATTTTCCTAAATTTGTAAAAGAATACAAAAGTAGCCCAAACAGTCTTTCACACATGAAACACCAAAACAGAACTATTTTTTGTTGCTAGAAACACAAAGTCAAGACTACTTAGAGTGTTGCAGTTTGAAAGAATGGAAGATTCCCTTCAAAAGGATTGCCAGAACACTTCTGTCACAGATGTTAAAACTGTTCCAGCCAGGATGAATTCCTATAACTTTTTTTTTTTTTTTTGTCTGAGTTCCTATAACTTTTATAAATAGTTCAAAGAAATAGGTTCTTGTAAAGGGTCAGTTTGGCAAATTGGCCCCATTTGGTAAATGGAGACATGGGAAAATCGATTTTCGATAATTGGCGTGTGTGTTTCTGCTTTTGTCTCTGCCTTGTGAACAAATGTTATCACCCTGAAGTGTTCATGAAAAGAAATTCATTCACCTGCATATATTAAGAACTGGTCTGAGAACATCCAGACTCCGTGAGGAAAATCTCAATCTCTGCTTCTATTGCAGGTGGGAGTGGAAGGCTGGATGTCCTTTAAGTCTTTGTTAATTACTGTGCAGTAAAATTATGCATTCTTTTTTTAAGATTTTATTTATTTGAGAGAGAATGAGAGAGAGAGAAGAGAGCATGAGATGGGGAGGGTCAGAGGGAGAAGCAGACTCCCCACCAAGCAGCCTGATGTGGGACTCGAGCCTGGGACTCCAGGATCATGACCTGAGACAAAGGCTCAACCAACTGAGCCACCCAGGCTCCCTAAAATTATATCTTCTTCCCACATTGCTGTTAGCCTTTTCCCTACTTCAGAATTCCGCCCATCTAAATAAAATCCATTTGCTTTCCTGAGACACTTGAAGCTACAGCAACACAGTGTGGCCATGGGCCATGCATAGCGCCTTTCTCTTTCCCTGCCAAGATAAGGAGCATGGGATATCTCCCATTATTTGGTGCAGAGGAGTACCAGCGCTGCTTGGCTGTCCTCTCCAACTCAGGTTTTCCAGGAATTCAGTTTCTAGGCATAGTCTTTCTTGAACAGCGTTTCCTTATATTTTGAATGGCATTCCCTGACCCCATTTGTCTGTGTTCTTAGCCCATCCACATTAACTAGTGTTGCAAGACGGGAGTCATTCAGCAGTGACGTGTGTCTGTCATGTCAATTAAAATGAAATTCTCCCTGAGAGATTTGGGCGGGAGAGTGGGGGGGGATGTGTGTTTATCTTAACATCTTTGAAACCACGGCAATCGGACCACAAGTTAATTTACATGGATGACCAAGGCTAAGATCTCAAGTGTTTAATTAATACCATTGGATTTCTCCTGTTTACTGCTGCAGTTTTGAAACATCCCTGGTAGATTTTTTATGTTGTTATGAGATGAAACATCTGTATTGTAAAGATACTGCATGACGTGTTTGCTCTGTCTTCCACATATTTTATATTACCAGGAGAAAGTTCAGCATCTATGGCACACTGCCCCATGGACCTCTCAGAATCTCTCTTTTCTCCTCTTCAGGGGGCTGCAGCCAATCCTGAGAATGAAGACCAGCAGCAGAGACTGAGAGAAGCTGCCGAGGGTCTCCGGGTGGCCACCAACGCCGCTGCCCAGAACGCCATCAAGAAAAAAATTGTCAACCGATTGGAGGTGGGTAAAGAGGCTGGTTTCCTAGGATGTCTATTTTAGATTGCAAAGAGTTACTTGGAAGAGTACCCAAATGAATAAGGCCATGCCCATATAAAGGAAGCTACCACAAGATGAACGATGGAGCTGAATGGTTAAGATACTCATAAACAATTTGAAATTGCTTTAGGTACGTTGTACATTTGGTTCAATGGCACACTGACACTTTGAAAAATAGCTTCACCTCATGGTTTCAGTAAGCAAAGTCTTCTGAGTTTAGCGTTCTTGAATAGAATTCTTTTTTGCGGGGTGGGGGAGGAAAAAGGAATTTTTGTCCTCCTGGCATTAAGGGATACCCATGTTCAGAAAGGACCTTTAGCTGACAATTTACTTATTTTGTCAGAGGCAATGACTCTGTCAGGACTCCCAGTAGAAAATACAGACTCGGAAAGACTGGAGAATGGGGATCAGGCTTTGGCGGAGAGATATGGGATAGAGTCATAAGAAAATATTTTTGTCATTTTTCAGAGCATGTACTTATTCTGGGGTGAAGAAAAAAGGAAGTAGCAGTAGGCACAAAGTCTGTAAGAAAATCTCTCTCACAAAGGTACACGGAGACTCTTACACTAAAATTTGGGAGGTTGGAGGCCGAGAACCTGCCTGTCTGATGAATCCCTCCATGTAGTCTGCTGGATTCTGGAACAAAACTGGCCTCCTTGTTCTTGGAAGGATGTGATAGACACAATTAAGTTCTCAGGTGGGGAAGTCTGGGCCTTTCTGAAGCGAGGCTTCCCACAGGCGGCCAGAGGAGAGCCATGAGCACACCAGCGTTTGTCTTGCTTGTGGGGGGAAAAAAAACAATTCCCCTAAACCATTTAGACTTGATGCCACTTATCAGTGCCATCGTGGTCTTGGAATTAATTGTCCCTTATCTTTTGGAGAGAGACAAATGAACACTGGAACCTGAGCTCTCAAGCGTGCCTGTCTTTATCGCTTGTCCTGAGGATTGTAAAGCACATGGAGATAATGGGGTATTGTTAGACGAGGTTCATCGGTGACATTCAGAAGGCAGGGCCTGGGCCTGCAGCGCCCTTTCTTACACGGGCAGCTCGCCCGTGCCAGCCCCTCAGTGGGAGGGGCACGTATCTGTGTGTGTTTGTGTAAGGGGACACTCAAAGCCTGGCTCACCTCCTGTCACTCTCCTGTCCAGGTGGCAGCCAAGCAGGCCGCAGCCGCCGCCACGCAGACCATCGCCGCCTCCCAGAACGCAGCCGTGTCCAACAAGAACCCCGCCGCCCAGCAGCAGCTGGTCCAGAGCTGCAAGGTGAGCTTCCGGCCGCCCGAGAGCCGGGTCTGCTGTGGATGATGCTGACGGCCATTAGGGGGCCAAGTGCTGGGATCATTCGGTTACGACTGATCACCCAGGCCCCTGATGGAGTGTGCTCACGCTCCCATGTTGCAGGTGTGCGCACACACACCAACACACACATCTGGTTTTTGTCTCATAAGTGGATGGCCTGTGTCTGAAGGGAGAGTATGGTGCTTTTTCCAGCATTGCCTTCCCTTTGTCTAGATTCTTGGCTTTCTCTTCAAGAGACCAAATCAAGGGGGATCATTAACAAGGCCATTTTAGGGCTCTGAAATGGTAACAAAGCATTGAATTTCCAGAGTGCCTTTCTCCTTCTGAGAGGTGGGCCTCGGCCTTCAGTGTGTGCGGAATCCTGCTTCGCGTGGACTCGCACATTTATTTCATCCCATCATCCCATCAGGCCTCAGGGCTCATGTGCTTTGGGGTTCTCCTCTGTTGCGCATTTGTTCTTCTGAGACCTGGATCTTGATGGCATGTTGAAGCCAACGTGCCCCAACGGGTGCAATGAACCCCTTTGTTGCTGCTTCTGAAGGTGCAAGGAGTTCACTCCCAGGAAACCCTTGAATGGTGCTAGACACAATGTATAATTGTGTCACCATTGCCCACGTGTTGGCAGTATGTCTGCCTGGAGTCTCCCAAAGGTGTCCGCAGTGAGCAAGCAGCGGGGGCTGAGTGGAAAGCTGTGTCTGTGCCAAGGTTCGAGAGTTGACTGCACTATCCCCCCTTTTCTCATCTCCTCTGTGACACCATTCACATGGGAGAGGGGTTACCACTTCTACTTCAGAGATGGCTTTACTTCTGAAGAGAACCACCCAGAGCCCTCCAAGTCCTAATTCTGGGTTCTCTGAGCCTCCCCACCCCCCACAACCCGAGGAGCAGAAAAGACTCAGCAATGCAGTTAAGGCCTGGTCCATGGGACTATATGGAGAATGAAGGGGCTTTCCTGCGAGCCAGGCCTCTGTAGGGGGTGTGTGTTGTCTCCTAGAGCCTCAGGTCACCTGGCAGCACAGGTAAGAAAACCCTTCTCAGAGAGCACTTGCTCCTTGTGTCCAGGACAGTCCTACAGGGTGGACTAACCCCTCCCATTTTTGCAGAGAATAAAGATACTTAGTGCCTAGGCATCTTGTCAGGAAATGAGAGCTTTACTATGTATCAGGTTGCAGAGGAGAGAGGAAAGTGGCCCAGATTACTGGAGCCAGTCCTGAAGAGAATCTGAGGAAAAATCTCATGGAAATATTTTTTTAACCCTTGCTGGAATGGGCTCCCAAAAAAATAAGTCAGCAGGCTGGTATACACGTAGGACCTTCATCAGCAATGGGGGCTACTGTGCCGTGACCGTTGAGGGCTTGGCCAGTCAGGTGAGCATTGGTCACAGAGGGGAGAACACAGCAAAGTTAGAAGGTTGGTCTCCTACGACACCGAAATGCTGCTCCTTCCTCCTCCACCCTGGGCATTGGGATTTCCAGTTTGAGAAATGAGGAAGGCTACTCCGAGAGTGAAGAACCGTAGTGACAGGAAAGGTGACAGCCAGAACGCATACCTGCCAAGTAAGAGATCGAAGGAGTGACTTCGGCTGGCAGATGAGGACTTCTCTCACTTTTTTCTCTTCATTACACTGTGTGACTTGAGTTTATCCGCTGGTGAATTGTACAGGTTCTTTGTTTGCTTTGAAGCTCTAAACCGTAATTGGCCAGGTTGGTATTTGTTGCAAGTGGGCAAACGCTTTTCAGATCTCCTTACGGAGACTCATACTATGCTTAAATGCACTGGGACCTTTAGGAGCGCAGGGTAGAGCGTGTGTGGGAGACAGCTACCCAGAGGTACTGTGTTAGGATTCTGTGTTTTAAGGACCCAGCTGGCTTCCAAGTGCTGGGTAAATGCAAGGTTTGGGACAAGCATGGCCCTGCTGGAATAGCCCATCCCAAAAACATTGTCCCTGGGGTCCTTCCTGTCTTGCTAGCTGTGCTCTGTTTTAATTCTCCTTGCTTCTTGTAGGCGGTGGCCGACCACATCCCTCAGCTGGTCCAGGGCGTGCGAGGGAGCCAAGCCCAAGCAGAAGACCTGAGCGCCCAGCTGGCTCTCATCATCTCCAGCCAGAACTTTCTCCAGGTAACAGAAGCAGTCACCTGGGTTGTGCCCAGAGCTCCCCCACCCATGGGGTAGGAGGTGCCAAAATTACCCAGTTCCACAGTCACAGCCAAGTCTTTGCAGTGAGCAGACCTTTGAAGGCCTTCTCACTGTATTTCCAATTTCAGGAGAGGTGGATTTAGCTTGGCAAAGCAGAATGCTGCTGTGCAGGGAAATTGTCCTGGGAGATGGCCCATAATCCATTTCTCTTGGGAGTCTCCTCTTTATTTCTCCTCTGTGAGAGAAAACATGGGATAAGTGGCAAGTTTTGTTGAACAGCCTGGTACTAGATAGAGCTCTCCGTCTGCCAGTTTCCAGAGAGTCTAATGCTGTTATTCACAGACTGGGGGTAAAAGAAGTGGTAAGTGCATCTTCTCCAAAGGTGGGATCTTTTTTTGTGGCAGTTGTACAGTTACTAAGGGTTGTCCGTTTTTGCTGGCGAAGGAGTGGATTCATTTTAAGAAAAATAAAATGAGACTATGAAGTGGTGGGAAAACTCCCTTTTTACATACTCCTTGTATTCAAATCCCTTGGCACTTCCTGTCTACTTGTATCTCCCGAACAGATCCTCTTCCTTGTCCTTTTCTAGTTGAACCTGTGCCTACAGGACTCACTGACACATCTGTTGGGCTAATTTTCCAAGCGCTGTAACTCCAGCACAAGCTGAAGGCAGATGCTTAACTGACTGGGCCACCCAGGCGTCCTTGTATACATCTTTTTAAATTGGGATTATTGTTTGTAGACTCTGCTCTTCATTTGTATTATGAGTATTTTTGGTTTTAAGTAATCCATCGTATGGCCACAGCCATGCTCTGCTTGGCTCTTCCCTCCCCACTAGACCTACAGGTGGTTTTCAATTATTTGCCATCATAAACAACCTGTGATAGGATAAAAGTCATCATGTGTGCTCAAATATTTGTACTTCTCCTGAATTATTAGGGTAAATTCCCAGAAATAGAATTGCAAGTGGCTTATTTTTATCTTGGGGCTGTTGAGCATTGTGGCTTGGGCAGGTGTTTCTCTTTTCACTGGGGTGGTTTGAGGGCCTGGAGCCAGTTGGGTTGTCCTCTCCGTGGGCAGGCTTTGAGGGTATTATGATAGAGCCGCGTAGACATGTTTCAGGGTACACTCTGTCCCCGCTCTTATTTTTCCTTTTCCTTTCATTCTTTTAATTTTGCCATCACAGATACATCAGATGGTAATAAGAATAAGGCAAAGTTAGAAATAAGTGGAAATGGAATTGACAGACCAAAGAGTTGAGAACGTTTTAAACTTCATTCATATGTGTTGTAAAATGGCCCTTCTGAAAAGCTGAATGAATCCAAGTTTACGTGTGGCCATGCATGGAGCACGTTTTCTTATACATCTTTTCCAAGTTGGGGACTCAAGCATTTAAAAACTAGGTTGTTGATAATTTCTTGAAGTTCTTATTGTTTGACTTTGCGTTTCCTTGATTGTCACATGTTAAATGGGTTTCATGTTTCAGTTGTTTTCGTTAAGTGAGGTTATCAACGTACATTTCAGGCTGATTTTTTTTTAATGAATTCTCCTGTGTTATTTAAATATTAAAAATATTAACTTCTGTCATTAATGTTTATTTTCTGACACTTAAATTGTTTAAGCGTTACTAAAAGCAGTTTTATATCATCTATATTAAAACCCCTAAAACAATTTGTTCTTTGGTCCAAATTGTACTTTTAAAGTTTTACACAAAGAAAATTACGAATGTGTGAAAAATCTTAGCTACAAAGCTTTTGTCATACTATTGTTTATTACACTGGAAAAAAGGAAACATACCCAACACCACAGGACTGAGAAATATTAACAGATACATACAGTGGAATACTAGACAGCTCTTAAGTTTAGAAAATAGAATAAATAGTATGATCTTATTTTTGGAAATATGTATGCATGCATACAGACGTCCATGCATGGTGAGATTATCCTGGGTAGTGAGATGTGATGTGACAGGTCATTTTTTTTCATTTTATCTGCCCACATTTTTTTAAAGCAGTCTATTGGATGTATCTGAGACACAGATTAGAGAGCTATTCTAAGAAACACAAAGAAATGTTTTTAATAAACTCTCTTTGAAATCAGTTTTAAATGAGAATTTCAAGCTACCATCCTTATTTTGCCCCCTTTCCGTGATGCATACTTTGTTTTCTTTTTCTTAACATTTCTAGAGCTTACTGCCGTAGCATATCTGATCTGGGGTGGCAGTTTTCAGGGGTAGTCTAGATGGTTGTGGTCTTCCTTGGTGTAGGGCTCAGTAAGTTCTGGCTGATTTGCAGCACGGGTGTTTGGGTCTCTGCTCTGACTCCTGCTGCTCAGGCACCGTCTCGCTCTCTGCTCATCTCCTTACAGCCTGGAAGCAAGATGGTGTCCTCCGCCAAAGCCGCCGTGCCCACTGTGAGTGACCAGGCCGCGGCCATGCAGCTGAGCCAGTGTGCCAAGAACCTTGCCACCAGCTTGGCGGAGCTGCGAACTGCCTCGCAGAAGGCAAGTGGACCTTTGTCACAGCAGTTAGCTCACTGGGAACAGAGCTGCAGATGCCTTACTGTGGGATGTGACCTGGGGATGACCCAGGACCGGAACACTGCCGGGCATATTTCTGGGCAGAGCTGTCTGTTCCGTTTGCTTGATCTTTAAAAGATGCCCATGTAGCTTAGCTTCTGCCATTTTTAGCCACTCTCCTAGACTTAGTTGACCCACCTTCCAGTTGCACAGGACTTTTGTTAAACTATTTTAGATTATATGCTCCTTCCCCCTCCCCAGTACCCCGGGAACAAGCAATGGTCCATTGTTCACAATCTTAGGGGAGACAGGTAGTCATCAGTTTCTTGGTGCCAGGTAAATTGTAGGCCAGAATAAGTGATCATATCTTCCAGGTATTATTTTGTGGATTTAATGAGTTATTTAGGCAGCAAATTTATTTGGGGGGGGGGGGACAGGTATTTATATTATCTTTTTTGCCCTGAAAACTTTTCCCATTTTACATGGGAACGTCCACCTTAACAAGGTCCTCAATAGAACAGAATTAAAGATTAATGAGTTTCTGTCTCTAGCACTTATTAATTATCAAGGGCCTCATTACTGTACTGTTTGATATGTTATTAGCATGACATTCTGGCATGAGTTCATTTTTCCTCATTGTAGTGATCCCTTTATCGGAACTGGAGGCCTCATACATGAGCAAGGGGAGAAGGTTAGAAGCTGATTTGAATTCTTAATATGAACAGTGTACTGAAGCACCAAAGAAAAATATCCAGAGTTTTAAGATAATGTTCAGTTGGAAAAAAGTATCTCGAGCTGTGTTTCTCAACGAGAGGTCCAGGGACTGTCTCCACTGGAATCCCCTGGGAGCATTCAGAATGCAGGTTCCCAGGCCTCACCCCTGAGCAGCTAAGTCAGAGTCTGTGGTCATAGAACCTGAACATCTACATTTTACGAGTCTCATCAGTGAGCCTTAGGGAGAGTCACACCTCAACTACTTTGAGGCTGTGAGCCTCAAAGTGGGACTCAAGCAAGACTGTCCACTGGGTGTAAAAAGATATTAAGGCTTTAAGATATAAGAGTGTTTTAAGCTCTGCTGTTAGACTGCCTGCATGCAAATTCTGGCCTTGCCATCGACTAACTTTTTGTGACCTCAGCAAGTTAATTAACCTCTCCGTGCCTCGGTTTCTTCACTATGTACCATTGGCACATAGCAATCAGTCAGTTAGTGTTTACTGCTCTTGTTGTCACTGTTAACTAAAAAAAAAGAAAGAAATTACGATTTACCTGTATTTGACATACTGGTCTATAATTTTACACCAATAATTTATTAAGATGTGTATGGAGGGGGATGTGATCAAAGCATTTGGAGACCAATATCTTAAATGATCAAGAGAATGAAGTTGTTTTCTTAAAACAATTGCTAAGGAAAAGAAAAATCCTTTTTGTAATTTTCAGTATGGAAAGGTAATGGTTTATAGTCTAGAACTTTGTAGAGACTCAATAAGGTTGATAACAGCTTGTCCCCATAGTCCTGGGTTCATTCGTTCATTCCTTCTTCAGCCACTCACCACATGCTTTTCAAGCCTCTGTGCTAGGTGCTCTCTCTCTCTAGAACCCAGACACACTGAAGAAGGATTCTCTTAGTCTGAGCGACAGATGCATTTTGGATAAAAATAGCTTCAAGGAGACTTTAAGTATATCCACTTATGAGACATACATAATTGATTATTTAGGGAGGTCAGAACAGACCAAGGTTGATTTTGTTCTATCAGGAAACACATACTCCACTGGCTTCCTGTTGCCAGGGTTGGAGAACCACTGGGAACATCCAGAAAGGCATTGGGTACATTGCAAAGTACTGGGGACACTTTTCCCGGGCAGACTGTACACATATTCCCAACTCTGTTGCCAGGCCCATGAAGCCTGTGGTCCTATGGAAATCGATTCAGCGCTGAGCACCGTGCAGACACTCAAGAGTGAACTGCAGGACGCCAAGATGGCTGCCGTGGAGAGTCAGCTGAAACCGCTTCCGGGGGAAACGGTAAGGGATGTTAGAGCCTGCTGTGGGTTGGGACTCTGCCTCATGTCAAGATCACGGTGAGGCATTTTTAGAAGCTGGAGTTGGTGGCCCTGAATCACACACATTTTACAGGCAAAGCCCTAGAATAGCCCCGTTTTTAAGAACTGTGTTGAGGTAAAGATGGCCCTGAAGGGGCCCCTGGTCATGGTTCTGTGTCTTGCTTTGCTGGAGGTTGGCTGGGGATGCACAAGTGTCTGTCACTCTTTTTCATAAACAAGACACATCCTCATGTTCTGATCCCACAGCCTTTCTCTGAGAAGAACGTCCAGCACAGCTGGAGGAACTGGGTTTCAAAGTAGAAGTTCTTGTTTCTGGCTCCAGCTTGTGTCCTCAACCGGCCATAGACAAGTCTTGTGTCTCCTCTGTGTCTCAGATATTTTATCTGTAATACAGATAGCAATGAGGTTATAAAGGTAGACACAGGAAATATTTTCAACAGGCATGATTTGAAAAAACATCGACTTAACGCAAGACAACTGGAAGGGACAACAGCAAAGCACTGGAATCCAGTCCACAATCCAGGGGAATGGTGGGGACAGGCGCCTCGTGATGCCTGAGTCAGGGTTTTCTTGGCTAAAATTTTACCAGCTCTTCTCATTTGTGTGTACCTCCTTTTCCACATTATTGAATGGTGCTAATAAGGGCCGTCATTTGGTAAGTACATCGTATGTACTGCGTGTGCCCAAAATCAGTCTAGTTTATCCTGATGGTAACATTGATGAGTGAGTTTTATGGATGCCATTTTGCCCTGAGAAAACGCAGGTGCCCGGGTAGGTTGTCACTATTGTGTCCAGTGTCTGCCCGCTGATGGTAGAACCGGGGTTTGAATCCAGACCAACAGGACTCCAAAGCCCACGCTCTTGATCCCTCCCTCTTGGCTACTGCTGCTCTTTGGATCCCCTAATGTACTATGGACCAATGGTACTTAGGAAGCCCTCAGAAACTATTTGTTAAACCATGCTCCTGCTAATTGCAAAGATGAAGAAAGGCTCAGAGGAGTTAAGTCACCTAAGGTCACCCAGCTAATGATCAAGTCAAGACTGGCCACAGGGCCAGCAGCATCATGATGTAGTCCATGTGTCCCTTTGTAAGCTCCTGCACTCCAGGGAACCCGAGAGAGGCTGCCCCCACATGATTCTGCCTTTACAGAAACCTGCTGGTCTGTTAGAATGCAAGAAACCCTGTGTAATTTTTAAGGAAACTGCCCCCAAAAGAATATGTGTGCTGTGTTAGAACATACTGTTGGCCAGAACATATTGTTGGCTATAGGTTCTTTCATATGTGAAGGCACTGCCTATCCTGGGAAGCAATGTTACGGAGTTAAAAAATGCACGCATTCTCTGATGCCTTCCTGCACTCTCGTGGTATGCCTGAAGGTTCTTTTCCAAAGGGTTGTCCCTCATCTAGTAATCAAATAATTATCCATACCCTGAGCCTTCAGTAAGTTTGTTCTCTGAATTATTTATTCAGTTTACAAAGCAAGATGACGTGCTGTTCATGGGAAGCAAGCACTCTGCCCATTTTCATAATCTCATGTACCAGGGCAAACCTCTCTTTCTATTGCATTTCCTTCTGGTTAGAACTCCTCGAAGTATAAAGATCGAAATGAACAATATTAGTGGTCCCATATGCCAGGAAGGCGGTACCGCTGGATGCCTGCCCACTTCCTGCCAAGGCGTAATTAATTCTCACTAAGGATTTGTTGCAGACTTTCTAAATTAGCTTCCAAAGGCATGATGCTAATAGCTACCATTTGTTGAGTACCTACATTGATTCTGAGAACTTGCTAAGCTTAAGTATTAGGATCTCTTCAGGAAACCGAGGCCTGGAAAGGTTCGGTAACCTGCCCAGTCTCTGACAGCTAGCATGTGGGGGAAGGAAGCAGAGGGCAGGGGCCTGAACCCAGATTTGTTTATTCTGAAGCATGGGCTCTTTCCCCTTCTGTCACCCTACTTACTCTTAGCACCAATGGCATCAGGTGGGGAAAAGCTGAGGACCACGATTTGATGTGCATCATTTGTATGCTAAGATTTAGGTGTATGTTGCTTTTCTTCTAAGTTGTCTTCCTCCTTGGATATTCTTGCAGCTGGAAAAATGCGCTCAAGACCTAGGAAGTACATCCAAGGCAGTGGGCTCGTCCATGGCACAGCTTCTGACCTGTGCTGCTCAAGGCAATGAGCACTACACAGGTGAGACCCACATCCTTCGTGATGCCCTGTGGCCAGGTGCAGACAGCTGGGGTGGGCGGTGGGGGTCAGCAGCAGGGGTTCCTTGATTTGGCCATGAACCTAACTTTGTTTTTCAACAGCAGTTTACAGATTTTTCAAGCTCTTTCCATGTGCTTGTTACTGGGCTTGAAACTAAGCATATAAAGATGAATAAAATATGAATGCCCCAAATTATTTGTGGATCACCCCTTCTAGACTGTTAGAAAAAGTAATTATAGACTTTGAGGACTGTCTCTGTATGACTCTTGAAATCTCACTAAAGGGATTTTTTACAAAATGTTAAGAAAAAAAGGATGACAACAAATAAGATGCCAGTTAAATTTTCTAAGATGGAAGGAGACAGATGACTGATAGCGAATAGAACCAATGAACAAAAACTAAAAGTCTTCAGGGATAGGGCAGCCAGCAAGAAACAAGCCGACTTGTGCTGCAGAACCCTGAGGGAGTTTGAATATTGGAGATACAAGGTACCCATAAGGGCAGGAGACACCTTTAAACAGAAGGCTATATAGAAACAGATTGTGTAATTATCAGCTCTAGGAAAAGCACCAGGTTTATATAAGGAAATGTCTTTCTAATAAGAAGTAGACAGAATAGGAAGCCTATAGCTTCCTAAAATGGAAACAGTGAGAAGATTCATTATAAGCCCATTACCTGGAAACAGGAAATGTGTCAGAAGAAAGCTCAAAGAGCTGAGTGGCTCTAGGAAGGGAATGGGATGGGAGGGGTGGTTGTTGATTGTTGCTGTTGTTACACAGTAGTACTGCCTGACTTCTTTAAAAAAAAAAAAAAAAAGGTATACATTGTTATTGAAGTGTAATAAATATCCAGAAGAGAGCGGTTAAGTCCTAAATGTGTACCTTCCTGAGTTACTATAAATTGAATGCACCCCAGCCACCACCACCAAGATCAAGTGGTGGAACGTTTTCAGCACCCACCATGTGCCCACTCCCTGCCAATCATTGTATTTCCTCCTGTCCCCCAGAGGTAAACACCCGTGACTTGTAACAGCACAAGTTGATTTGCCTGTTTTTAACTATGAATGAAATCATGCAAGGTGTGTCCATGTTTTTGCTGCTTTTTCTGGCATTATGATGTGAGATGCACAGGATGTCAGAAGCCATTCTTTCCTTTCTGTTGCTTCCTGCAATATTTCATTATGTGAATATACCTGTTTGTGACTCTTTGTACCATTGATGGGTAAAGCTATGAATAGTTCTCATATATGCTGTTTAGTGAACGTAAATAAGCATTTTCTAAATAAATACCTAGAGATGGACGTGCTGGGTCCTAGGCTGTGCTAATAACCCAGCTCTGTCCTTCCAGCAGCGTGTGAACGCTCCATTTGTTCACATTCCTTTCTCCACTTTCTGTTGTCAGCCAATGTCATTAGCCATTCTGCTGAGTGTGTAATAGTATCATATTATGGTTCTAATTTGTAATTCCCTGATGAGCAATGCAATTGCTCATTTTTTCATGTATCAGTTGGCCATTTGGACATCTCAAAGTGCCTGTTCATGCCTGTTGCTCTTTAAAAAAAAGCAAAAACAAAGACAACAAACCTGAGTTATCTTCGTGTTAGTTGGAATTTTCACTTGTATGTATTTCTTTTATCTTGAGGTTTACCTTTCACTCTCAAAACTGTTTCTTGATGAATAGATTTTTTTAGAATTTTAATATAGTTCAATTTAAAGTGTTTTTCCTTTACGGTTGCTAACTTTCTATGTCCTTTTTAAGAATTTTTCCTCTCTAAAATCAAGATATTCTCTTCTGTTACAGTCTAGAAGCTTTGTTGTTTTACTTTATTTAGAACTGTGGTCCGTCTGCAATTGAGTTTTACATATGAGCAAAGAGAGCCCTTACTCTTTTTTCTCTTGGATATCTATCTGACATAGCACCACTCACTGAAGCCATCATCATTTCCCCAGTGGTCTTCAGTGCTGGTTGGTCCTTAAGTGAAAGCTGTATGCAAATCAGCTTCTGATCTTCTACTTCTTTTCTAGTGATTTGATTGCCTGTCCCTACCATAGTAGCACACTTTGCTGATAACTAAGTTTTATACTAAGTATTAATACCTGGTTATATGAGTCCTCTGACTTCATTATTTCTCAAGTAATGCTGACTTTTCTTACCCCTTTATATTTCCACATAAATTCTACAATCAGTCTGGCAGTTTCTACCCCCAAAAAACCCTGTTCATTTTTTTTTTTTCTTAATTGGAGTTACACTGAATCAGTTTGGGGATAAGTGACATTCTCACATTCTTGAGGCCTCTAAACTGCAAATAGGACATGTACCTCCACTTACTTAGATTTTCCTTTTAATACTGTTTTACAGTCTTGTGCATATAGTTTTGTGCCTTTATTTTCATTATAATGTGCATGATATATCTTATCCCATTTTCAGTTTTTCTGTATACTTTTATTTAACTTGTATCTTGTGAGCATCATGTAATTGTTTTGCAAAGGGAGGGGTTGTTGATGCAACATCTTTTTTCTTTTAAGTTTTTAAAGATTTTATTGAGAGAGCGAGAGCACAAGTCAGGGGGAGGGGCAGAGGGACAAGCAGGCGCCCCACTGAGCAGAGAGCCCAACATGGTGTTCTGTCCTGGGATTCAGAATCATGACCTGAGCCGAAGGCAAACACTTAACTGCCTGAGCCACCCAGGCGCCTCATTAATCTCTTGTTTCAATTGGAGTATTTGTTCCATTTACCTATAATGTAATTACTGATATATTGGGGTTTGAACCTATCCTTTTACTCTTTGTTTTCTGAATGACTTACCTGCTCTGGGTTCCTTTCTCTCTCTCTCTCTCTCCTGTCTTCAGATTCATATGTATCTGTTAAGTTCTGCTTCTTTCTCCTTGATTAGCTTGTTAGTTATATATTCATTGACTAGTCTATGAATTTGCAAAATTCATAGGATTTTTAAAAGTCCAATATAAGTTAGTGTGTTCACCACTTCCTGGATGGTGCAAGAATCTTGGGACACTTTAATTCCTTTTACCTTTCTTTCTGCTCATTCTTTGCATAATCAGAATGCACAAATGATGACAGATATTTTAATTCCCCCCATACAGTCTCCATATCGTTTCCTACAGTCAGTATCCATTTAGAATCACTGCCACATTGACCTTCCCATTGTTCTTTATTCCCTGCTCCCTCTCCATGTGCTTCCACTGGGGATTATTTCCTTTGTGCCTTAACTCCCTTCATTTCCTCCAGTGTGACATTATTGGTAACAAATTCTCTCCATTTTTGTTTGTCTAAAACTGCCTTTGTTTAGCCTTTATCTTTGGTAGATCTTTGGTAGATAATTTCACTCATAAAATTTTAAGCTGGCAGTTCTTTTCTGCCAGAACTTTGAAGGTGTTATTCCATTGTCTTCTGGCTTCCTTTATTTCTGTTGTGAAGAAAGCCATCAGTCTCCTTTTGGGAAGGTAATGTGAGGGTTTTTTGTTTTTTTTTTTTTTAATATTTTGAATTTTTAAATTTTTTATTTAAAATCAATCAGCCAACGTATAGTATAATACATCATTAGTTTTTTATATAATGTTCAATGATCCCTTAGTTGCGTATAACACCCAATGCTCAGCACATCACGTGCCGTCTTTTCTGCCCATAACCCAGTCACCTCATCTCTCCACCCACCTCCTTTTCCACAACCCTGTTTGCCAGAGTCAAGAGTCTCACTGTGATTTTATTTTTTCCCCTCTACTAACTTTTTGAATTTTTCAGTCTTTTTTCAAGCAATGTACTTAGAGAAATTTTATTGGGTATTTATCCTGCTGTGGGTTTTTGTACAGCTTGAAAATGGGACTTGTTGTCTTAGGTCAGTTTTAGAAAATTCTCAAGCACTGTATTTTCAAATACTGTCTCTGCCCCATTTTTTTTTTTTTCCTCTTCTTCTCTGTAGATTCCAGTTACCATAAATGTCAGGTGTTTCCACTGTGTGATGTGTCCCCTAATCTTTCCTGTACTTGCTCTGATTTTTCTTCTCCGTGTTTTAGTCTGAATATTCTCATTTGATCAGTCTGTAGCTCACTCTTCTCTTTAGCCATGTCCTTTCTGCTTTCAGCCTTTTCCGAGTTTTTAATTTGAAATGTCCCATTTTTCAGTTTGAGAATAGCCATTCGATAGTTTGCTTGCACTTTCCTTATTCTGCTGAAATTTCCTATCTTGCCATCTAATTTCTTCAACTTAGTCATCACAAGTTATTAAAGTCCTGGTTCAGTAATTCTGATATTCGGATCACCTCTGGGCCTATGTTCCCGGTCTGTCATTTTTCCCCTCTTTTTTTTCGGCTGTTGGTCCTACCTCCTGGTGTTTCTGATATTTTTTAATTTAATTCTAGACTTTGGTATTTTAAACTGAAGAGATAGTGTGAGACTCTGGATTGTGTTTCTTTCCCTATGGAGGATTATTCTTTGTTTCTGGCATGTAGTGAACATCCAGCAGATCCCCATAATAAGAGCAGGCTCTGGCCTGATAAGCAGGGATTGAGCTGCCTGGAAATTTGCCATCTATTTCCAGTTGGTTTTTTAGGGCATAAGCATTTTTGTGTATCCCTTCAGAACATCTGTTACATTTACCAGGGCCATTCTCTTCCATAGGCTCAGAACTGTTGCCTTTTTTTTTTTTTTTTTTTTTTTCAACATAACAGTATTCATTGTTTTTGCACCACACCCAGTGCTCCATGCAATCCGTGCCCTCTTGAATACCCACCACCTGGTTCCCCCAACCTCCCACCCCCGCCGCTTCGTTGCTTTTTAATCCTCCCAGCCCCATGAAATTGCAGGAAATTTTGCTCAGCTTCTAGGCAACAGTTTACGAATAAAGAAGGAGTGCCTTGAGGGGAAAAGCAGCCCTGTACCACCACCCCTGCAACGTCCTTTCTTTCTTTTAAAATCTTAATCCCTCTTAGTGCCTTTCTCTCTCTCTGTCCACTGCTGTCTCTCCAC